CCCCTTTTTCTCTTCCTTGGTCGCCTCCTTCTGTGCTTCCCTCATAGCCTTTAAAGGGCATATGGGAAGTAATTATTGTGCATTGTTTTTTCTTTGAATATTGTTCAATAATGCATGCTTAGCCTATTCATGTAAAAAAAAAAAAAAAATCGAGAGACCCTCTGGTATCCCCCAAAATCCCAGCAACCAGGGAGAATACTGTTGAATCTCAGGACCAGTGAGAATATAGCGTGATACACACACTGCATCCGCGAGTGAAGGATGTCACGGAATTGTTGCAGTTTCAAGCTATTAAAGTTTGTAACAAAGGATGCCGCGGCGTTGCGTAGCAATGCATTGTTCCCATTCATGTTGCCAGCTGTTTGAATGGCCAAAAGAGCGCGACAGAGCAAGGAAGTGGACACGTTTTGTGCATGCCAAGTAGAGTAACTTTTAGCTTGTGCCAACCAGCTTACTTTGCTTGAAACACTTCGAGCCCGATTGCTTTGCGAACTGAATGGCTTACGACATGGGATTTGCAAAACGGTAGGCCATTTCCAATTACATTTGTCATGATCACAACAGCGCAAAACAAACTCTGAAAGAGCGCTTTTGCTTGGCGACGTAGCAAACATTCATTGCGTGGGAACGACACAGTGTGCCGACTGCATTGCAAGTGTGCATGTATTACAACACAGAGGTAGGGTAGGTACACCCCAAAAAGCACAACACAAATAAATACCGATGCCCCTCCACTCGCGAATGGATGTAGGCCTGCGCCACGGGTGCAGACAAGAGATTGCTCAGCCTGCAGAAATTTTGTACCATACAGAAGCGGGATCACACGTTCGACTATAAATAATAATTTAGAAAATCACTATTCATTCAATCTCTTCGGGTCTCGACGCCACTCTATGTCTGGCTGCTTTGGCACAACTTCCAGGACATCTACAGCGTCGGGCTCGTGCATGTACGGTCCAACAGCCATCAACCCTTGATATTCCTCTTCTTCCAACTCTTCGAAGACGTAGGTACTCTCTGAAGACCTTATACCAATGCCCTCGTCGGAATGAGCCAATGAAACCACTTATTTCACTGCCGCTGTAGTCTGGTAGTGAGTCCGCCATGTACTGAATGCAGAGAATGTTGTGGTCGTGTTCTGGAATTGACGTCACACATCCGGGTTCCGGATTTTCGCGGGAAAATATAACTTGACTTCGGAGAATCGAAATAAATCATTTTTGGGGAATTATTTTCAGATTTCCTTTTTTACTCATATTAGAGATGGTTTGCGAGCTAATTCTCCCTTTTTAAAATTTTCAGTTGTTACTTCACACAAGCCCTTTTGTCAATATCAATCTGCGTGCACCGCTTTGTGTATTTATATATTAATATATATATGTATATATGTATATATATGTATGTATGTATATATGTATATGTAGATATATATATACATGCATACATACATACATACATATATAATGTATATGTATATATGTATGCATATACATATACATATATATATATATATATACATACACACACACACACACACACACACACACACACACACACACACACACACACACACATATATATATATATATATATATATATATATATATATATATATATTATCGATAATTATAAGTGGTAATGATGCTAAAGACCTCAATTACAATAGTAATGATTATTACAATACTAATGTTAATTATAACAACAATTAAAATAACAATAATGATTATCATTATTTTTTTTATTTATTGTTATTAATGTTATCATTATCATCATATATTATTATTATCATTATTGTTATTGCTATCATCATTATCTTATATTATTATTATTATTATTATTATTATTATTATTATTATTATTATTATATCGTTATTATTATTATATTATTATTATTATATTATTATTATTATTATTATATTATTATTATTATTATTATTATTATTATCATTATTATTATTATTACAACTCAATCCTTCTTCTCAAGTTCAATGTCAATGCTTCTCTTTATCTGAATTTTTCTCTCGCAAAAGTGCACGTAATCGCACTCTTATAGAAACCACGTGAATTCAGTCGCAAGTGAGAGATTTGTGTGTGGTGTAGAATTACTTGTTTATGTGCATGCGCGCGTGTGTATGTGTGCAGTGGAGGCTGATCGCTGTCTCGTCTGAAACCACAACTTTAATTACAGTTAAATTGTGCACAATATCGAGCGCTCAGGAAGAAAAAAAGCAAAATGGTCTGAATAACCTCACGTGTCGCGGTACGCCATGGTGCCACTAATTTCTTAACGTAACGTATTTTGCACTCTTATTTTCGTTCGCCGTCCTCTCATCCTGTTATATTTACTTAAAAATATGATAATAATCAATACTATAATATATTCACACAAACAGGCGATAAAACGGAACCTTATTCCGGGACGAGAAAGGGAGACGTGGCACCGTCGGAACCGCGTCACGTGCGAGGCGACAGCTGACCTTCGCTGCCAGACGCACGACGATCCCCCAACCAGTCGGGCTCCAGGTGCGTCAGGGAAGGGAAGCGAAGCCTCGTCTGGGGACACAAAGCTCCTCAAAGCTCCCCGAAGCTCGCAAGGGGACGCGTTATCCTCGCTCAGGTGAAAGGGCTCGGGGACGTGGATCGGAAGACCTCGTTAGAACACGGAGGTGAGCGCTTATGAATTAATTACAGGTAGAGAAAGACAGGTCAGACGAGGTGTGAAATCTACGAAGGTTCCCTGGTAAAAAGGTGCAAAAGAAAGACAATAAACCATTATTTTATTACACACACATTAGAGTATCAGGTGTTAGCCTCCTACGGGTTCTGACACATGGCCTAAGAACTCTCCGACTTGTAAAAAAGAAAGAAAAACCGAAATGCTATTCGTAAATTCATCCTTTTTACGTATTGGGGATTAAGGCCTATAAGCCTCTCCGTGTTGCACGTCGTTGCTATTTTCACCTTTTGAGAAGACATTAGAAGCAGGAAGTCGTATTTTTAGGCTCATGGGGTGTAGGAGGGGGTGGGGGGCGTCCATACAGGTATCTCACAACCCAATTAAGGTGTCCATTCATTCTGTGGAAAATGTTTATGTTATGATTTTAGATTATGAGTATTGTTAAAAGGTTGAATGTGATGAATAACAGAAAATATAGTGTTGTGATGAAATTATTTATCGTCTGTATTTTCAATTTGTGCAGGAAGTGGCTGTCTGACGAGTTCCCGAGGTTTAATCAAGTTAAAACACTTTGTACACTGTACTATTAAAGCCTGATTGTCAGACACCAAATTTGATTGTAACTCTTTAACTTGTATAGGGGAATTTACAGAAGAAATTGCATTGCTTTACCCCAAGCCGTCAGGCATGGCATGTACGTACAAGCCATTGCCCTTTGTGTGTTGAATTTAGTAATTTTTTTACATATATATGGCTCCACAAATACCAAGTCACCAATAAGCCCATTACGCGAACTACCTGTCTCACCTGTTTACCCTTTTCCTTAATTTTCGATAATTTTTTCTAATATTTAATACTGCTGTTAATAATGTCGGTAACAATATAGTAATTATAATGTTTAAATTAAAAATGTGTCAATATTGATAGCATTAGTAAAAAAAAGCTTTATCCTGTTTTCTTCAAGGAAATGTGAGGTCCCAAGATATACTAACTGACTCCTTTGTCGCTAAGCACTGGCAGAGCCACCTATGTGCAGGAGCATTTAACCAAGCATTGCCAAAGGAAATGCACCATTTTCCCATCAGATTGGGTTAATTCTAGTTTTTGGTCCAGAGGAATTGCTCTTACACTCTAAAATTCATATTCACAGGAACTACAAAGCAAAGATAGGTGGGGGTGCGCTGAATGACCCGCGGCTTTGACCTATAGGCTTCCTAATCAAATCTTCATTCAATCAGGGATCTAAGACCGCCAAGCCATTGAACCCCTTTAACAAATTGGAATTAATGTACAGAAAGGCTTGTATATTTTGGGCCTGCTAGTAGAGGAAGGAAAATGAATATCATGCACAGAAATAAACAATTCTATAGATGAGATATTTGAAATAGTTTTAGTTCCAGCCTTCTGTTAGAAGGTACATTTTACACATAATGGACAGAATGAACGGAAATAAGAGACTTTTCATCTATGGTATTACCTTTGCAATTTGAAAGGAAAGGAGTTATTGGATGCGATAATTTTAATCAAATAAACGAAGACATTTATGCTCCTTTTGTGGGATAAAGAGAAGTAGTCACAAGCTTCGCAGGATGTAAGTCTTGGAGTAGGCTAGAGTGTTCGAAGAAATTATTTAAGCAAGTGTATCCATCGCGGAGGAATGGACATAGTCACTGGTGTTCTGACGCTTCTCGTAAACCAGGAAGGCCAATGCAGGGAATGAGATTGCTGTTTTGATGTATATATTATGATTATGAATTTTTTTATTTGTTTTCCTCTTAACGCTTAACATTTATAGGATGGATGGATGAGATTAGATAGATGGATGGATAGATAGATAGATAGATGGATGGATGGATAGATGGATGGATGGATGGATGGATGGATGGATGATGGATGGATAGATAGATGGATGGATGGATGGATGGATAGATGGATGGATGGATAGATGGATGGATGGATGGATAGATAGATAGATAGATAGATAGATAGATAGATAGATAGATAGATAGATAGATAGATACATAGATAGATAGATAGATACATAGATACATAGATACATAGATCGACGGACGGATGGACGGACGGTGGACGGACAGGTAGATAGATAAATAGATAGATGAGTACTTAATCTGTCAGACGCTAACCAATAACCAATCACAATCACCTGGAAAGAGAAAACATGATAATATCACTCAGAATGTGTGAACATGAAGCGGATAGTTCTACATATGGCTTCCACAACTATACTAGGTGAATGCATCAACGTTTACAGCCGAGGAATATGCTAACCCCTGTGATTGTCGGACCATCCAGGTCTTCAGAA